TTGGTCAAATTTTATGACTACTCTCCATGCAATGACCCATTCGAAAACGGCGATCTTGGAGATGCACATTTCAGAGACGAGGATCAGAGTGGAGGATGGGTCCGAATGGCAGGAAGCCCAGACGGGGGTCCTGGAAAATAATGGTTGCGGGGGGGGCGAAGTGGCATCGCCATTGAGCCGGGGCTGAGAGAGAAAGTGAGGCAGCATAGTGCTCCCTGGAGTAGAATAGCGATAAACACTAGTTTACCGATGCATGCAACTGTATCTGTGCGTGTGTGTGTGTGTGTGTGTGTGTGTGTGCGTGCGCAATATATGTCGGTGCACAGGCCTCTCTTATTGTATTCTGTGTGTGTTTGGGGGAGAAAAGAGGGGGTGGGCGATTGGTGGTGGTAGAGGGGATGTTGGAATTTTGCCATCCTGTTCCCTCTCAGGGCTCGTAACCATTGCGGTCCTCTGCCAGCCTTTAACTGCAACCCCCCACCCCCACCGCCCCCACCCACACACATTCAATGTGGCATTTCCACTGCGCTTTAAAGACCAGGGAGTTCTTCACGTCACCTTCCAAGTCCTCCCAACAGTGATTTACTGGCACAGTAAGTGTGAGTATCATGAGTCATTGGGAGCAACTTCCGAACCTGTTCACCACTGTCCTGTTTGGTACCCTTTTTAGGTACTCCAAGAATGTAGGAGTGGTACCCTGGGAGCAGAGTGCAGAAGAAGTGATGGGGTACATATCCGGTGCGATCTGAAATGCAAATGTATGCCGTTCTCTTGACGGTGCACCGACACCATCACTTACGTTAGCATTCTGGCTACACTTTATACTGGCTCCCAGTCAGCCGAAGAATGTATTTTACAATTACGCTACTAGTCTATGAATCACTGAATGGCTTTGAACCTGAATACGTTAAAAGAAATGCTCATGGAACATAAACCCAGTCGGGTTCCGAGGTCACTAGACTGGGGTCAATTAGTGGAGACCAAACTTCAAAGCAAAGATGATGTATCAGCATTTAGCTTCTGCTACATGCAGATGGAATAAGATGCCGACAGAATTGAAGGTAGCCTCATGCGTAAATCCGGGTTTAAAAAAGTTTGATTCTGCGCTTTCAAAGCATCTGGATAATCATTCCCCCCCCCCAAATCATTTTCGTGTACTGAACCTTCATTTAGTAATTTTAGTAAACTACTTTTTCCTTCTTTAGTTTGCTCTTAACTCATTCAGTACCAGTCAATTCTAGACCAAGTCTGAAAAGACGTTTCAAAACGTCTTTGGGAGTGAATGAGTTTAAATATCTTAAATTCTTCCATTTTTTTTTTTTTGTTTAATATCTAAAATTCTTTTTGCTTTAAATGTTTTGTAACAATGTGGAGCACATTGAGTTATCTTGTGTATGAAATGAGCTCTATAAATAAAGATGCCTTGCCTTGCCTCTAGTATGAGCTGAGCTAGTTTGTTTAAGCAAGTCGAGAGGAAACGTGCTCGATACCGACAATGATCTCATACAGCACAGCGATCATTACAAGCTCTGCACTGGAGACTTATGTGAGCAGGGTAAATAAAAGACGCTAAATATGGGGAGCCGGGCTTCTCATTTCCACCCACTGTGCAGGATCTGTTGGTGGTGAAAGTGAATAAAAGTACAATTGTCTGCCCACGGCGTGAAACTCAAGCGGAACCTCCTTCCACCTTTGATGACGAGGGAATAGCCACAGATGTGTTCGCTGGGTTCTCAACTGCTTACTACCTGCAATTGAGTCACCTCACGACTGATTCAAATTGAGGTTGCATTGCTTCCTTACTGCAACTGCTCATGTGTTTCGCTCTATACGGTTACGTTACTTTCATGAGTATACGACGTAAGCCCTGATAACAGTTGCATCAGCTTCAAGTCGAATCACTTTCTTTCCGCAAATGAAACACATTTGCCATTTTATGCTAAACAGAAATGTGTTCGCTCCATACTAAACTATTAACTACCTTTCATTTATGAGGTATTGTGTCACGCCCGATCGGTTCATTTGCCAGTTGGACTAGCTCAAAGTTGGATCACAATCTTACCGTAGTAAGAATCTGCTGCTGTCAGATTCCGGTAGTTGTAGTTATAACCCCTTAATGCAGGCCAAGTTGGGATCAAGTTAAGGTTACTTTCTTACAGCAACCAAATTATGCTAGGATTCTATGCGAGTTAGATTTCTGCTTTGGTCAGAGCCGACCAAACGAATCGCATCGATGGTGAGGAAAAAAAAACACATTCAAAGTGAGACCAAAGGGTGTCAAGCAAGGAGTTCAGAGGTGCTGACAGGAGGAAGAGCTGCGAGGTTGGCGCGGAAGTGGCAATGCCGGCTGGGTTGGTGGATGGGTGGGAGGGTTTGGAGGGTTGGTTAGGGGAGGGCGGGGTGGGGGTGGCGGTGGGGGGGTACCAGCTGCCCGGGGAGCGCCCATTACGAGATGGAGGCAGCGATAAGTGCTCTCCCAGGCCCCCTTTCGCAGGCATAATTAGCACACTTCTTATCTGCTCCTCAATTCACATTCACAGCCGCCCGCCATCAATGAAGCAGGCGGGAATCAGCGGCCAGACACAACCGCGTTCCCCCACAAATATGCCTTGTACACCCCTTTCTCTCCCACATTTTTCCTCCCCAACCTTCCGCGGAGTCTTTGAACCCTTTGACAAAAAAAAAAAAAAAAAAAAATAGTGGTTTGTGCATCAAACTGCAATTTGGTCAAACAAAGCTATCTACGTGTGTAATCATGCTAATCAGCAGGAAAAAAATAAAGTCTTTGCAGATATTTCAGGATGATTCCCCAGTCCCGATGATCTATTCCCCTCTCATCCTTGTCTTTTTTCATCAAGTGCAATTGTGGAACTCTTCCAGACTCTGTGAAAATCTTTAATAATAACTCGTTACTGCTGCATTTTTTTTTTTTTTTTTTTGCTAAATGGCTTTGTTAAACAGTGAGTGAGGGGGTAGCGGCCGCATGTCTTTGCCAGTTTTTAACGGCTATGTGAGGGCAATCATCTGTGTGGGAAGAATAATATCAACAATTTCAAATCCGAAGCTTTCAATGTGAGGCTCTCCGTGCATATTTTGTAAGATGAGACCAGTGTGTGTACCTGGCTTTTGGAGGCGGCCACTTTGGCAAAGAGCGCCTGGGAGACTTTGGCCCTCTTCATCTCTCCCTGGATCTCGTCGTAGATGTTGGAGTTGATGTTGAGAATGCAGCTCTCCGTTTTGCCGTTCCACTCGCTGGGCAGAGGGGATGGCTTCACCTGCTCCCAAAGGGAGACATTTTCAAACTCCTGAGCATTTCATTTGCTTCGGGGAGTGTTACTATATTAATATAGTGGTGCTTTCAGATACCAATTTAATCTTTTACGCATTGCAAATCATGTTTCCCAATTAAAATGAATGGAAATACCATTAATCTGTCCCAGCCTCACAAAAATCAAACAACCAAACAAACAAAAAACATTGTTGTAATGCATTTTTTTCAGTCATTAGTGGTGAAGGAAAATAGCACTATGTATATTGTACTTGATAAAAACATACAATAACAAAATTCAATAGAATGTCAAGCATTAGACAGTTTGTGCATCATGATGAATTCATTTCGACTATTTCTGGTATGAGTGACTTGGACACCAGTGTGAAGCATAATACAGTCAAACAGACACACGAAGAAGAATAGTTTCACGATTGTAAGCGACTCAATAAGCTACACTGTTTGTCTTCAAATATCTGTTGCTAAAAGGTTTAGCACACTGTGACTATCGATGTTATTTGTTAGCCAGCCAATGGCATTTTGCATTGTGTGTTGGCACTATGCTAGCAGAAGGCAAAGATGTGTGGATGTTTGAAATACACATGTAATTCTTTTTGTTTTATGTGTAGTTTGACAGCAAACGAGTGAGTTGAGTTCACTGCCACTATACATATCTATTTTTTTCCACCGCACAAGTCAAAGCAAAAAAAAATAAAACTATTTTTTTTAATGGATGAATCACAGCTCATAGCTCAAATCAACAGTAAGTCGGTGCACTCACATCTCAAAGCATCACTTCAATACTACTATCATCATTATTATTATTATATTTTACTCACAGGAGAAAGGCCCACAGGAATGCGGGGGTTCCAGTCTTCAGGCCGCACGCTGTTACAGTCTTCTCTCCGAGGCTGCACAAATGACAACAACACTGCCATTTATTTAAAAGACAGCAGGATATGTGCACAAAGAAACACACGGACATTCCAAAAAAAAACAAAAAACCAAAACACGTTATACTCTGTGATTTGGTTCTGGTGTTGAGGCAGAAGGATGATAAAACCAAATCAAATCAAATCAACTTCATTCAAGGTGTGTTGCTTCTTGACGAGATTCCTTTGACATTGCAACAAGTAGCCAGATAAAACCAGAGACACTATTAGCATATGAATTATCATCTCGTACGAGTGACAACATCGGTGTCAGATCTGACTGGTAGACGGGCATTGGTGTTCTATCGAATAATCGTGTATTTGGATGAAAATAAAATATATATATATATATATTTTTTTTTTTCCTTCGTTCAAGATACACAGGACAAAAAACACATTTCCATTTAATAATAAATGGCCAACTGGTTTTCATTTTTAGGTGATCAACATTTTATACTTACATTTTAATTATGCATTGCAGCACAGTTTTCTTCTCTAAAAACATTCGTGTTAGAATTTCGATAAATCTCCTATCAATGTTGGTCTATGAGACGAAAAGACCTCGGTTAAAAGCAACACTCTTCAGTAAGCCCGGTTTATTGACAAGTGATTAGTAGGAACGGCAACTGTGTCTGGCTGACAGCATCAAAGTGTGCAAAGTCATTTTGGGTCGATTAACTTGAGGGCTACCAGTCCGGCTAGCACTACTAGCGCAGCTAGCAGCTAAAGACTAGCAACAGGCACGGTACAATACAGTGTCAGTGTAATTAAGTTTTTTGGGTTTTTTTTAGCGCCCTTAATTAGCGATTGAACATTATTTCAGGTCATTGGTGTGCTGCTGTCTTTGAAAGCGAATGTGTGTGATGGAAATAAATGACGTTGCAAACACAGTCTGGAAGAGTCAAGTCAGCCGTTATGCCACAGCACGCTGCCGGTGTAGGCATTGATGTCCATACGTTATCTGGTAAGTAAGGTTTATTTTGGAAATGGCCTACTTACTGACAGTGTACTGTATAAATAAATAAGGAAGGGGCGACTACAGGAAAAAAAAAAAAAAGCTTTTTTGTTTTTTACTCAAGTTACTTGAGTTCCCGTCTCAGCCCCGGTTCAGTCGCGTTTGAGCGCGTTGCTTGGTGTGAGGTGGGCCTTAAGGTTAGCGTAGTGTAATTTTAGAAGGTTAGTGTATGTTTATATGTCTGTATTTATTTATTTACTGAAGCTTTACTAATCCAGTTAGGGCAATTGAGAACAGATTCTCATTTACAAAGCTCACTTGCCGGCAGAAAAAAACCCAAAGCAAAATAAATGCAAATACAAATACATGGACAATAAACTGTAGACTGCTATATAGTTACGTAGTTTCATACTACCTGACAACGTCACAGCACATTTTGTATCGAAGGTTTAAAATAATCATGTATTTTGGCATTAACTTATTAAATGAAGACATGGGATGAATAATGCAGTTGTTAGGGTCAAGGTAGGGCAGGGTTCGGGTAAAAATTACAGTGGTACTGGAACTCGTCATTCGAAGCTAAGTGTTATGGCGGTGGCGTGCACGAGCGCCACCACATACCTCCGCATGTGTTTTTTTACAAGCCTATAAAAACCTTCTTCTGTCTCGGCCTCAATTGCCACCCTGCATGATTTATGTGCGCATATTCATGCTGCATCGCGCTATATGAGAGGCTGGCAGATGGCCAGGAGTGAGCGTGAGTGACTGTGAGTGTGTCTGTGTGTGTGTGTGTGTGTGTGTGTGTGTGTGTGTTTGCCTCATGTAGGGCTACATGAGAGATGTCAGCAGGCTTTAAATCACGCGGTTAAATGATACCAGCCCACAGATATTCCACTGATGTTGATTTGTCAACATTTGCATCGCAGCTTCAAGAAAAACGGGTGCCCATTTTATTTAGACAAAAGAAACAAGTGTGCCTCAATTGTACCGAAATGTGACCAAATATTCCAAATTTCCAACCGTTTTTTTTCAACACTCTTTTGTCTTGGCGTCTTGGTGGAAGTTGTACGGCGGAGCTCAATAAGCTGCTGCCCACTGAATTGCTGAACGAGACCATTCTTTCAAGTCACACATTTTTGGTTTCTCTGTATCGATATTCATAAGTGGGATTTTTTTCTTCTTACTATCGTAGCTTTGGACATACTATGGACTGCAAGAGGAAACTGGGAAGAAAACAACAAGGACTCTCAACAAAAACCCCTGTTCTTTGACTTGGGTGTTCTCTCCCGTTGACTGAACTGACACTTAAACACAGTCAGAATGTGAAGATGAGCTTTCAGCTGCAAAGTGGTCGGTCCCGCTATAGTGCAGCTCCGCTGCTTCACAATCACACTTTTGACTTTCTGTGATGGTGCGCAGCCATTTAAAAAGAGGGGCGGGTGGGGGTACGGTTTGTAGGAGGGCGGCTATGCGAAAACAAGACAGAGGGAGTTATTGTGGGCTGTTCTCAGCGGCTGGATGCTGCTGACAAATGCATTTCTCCGTAGTGTTCCTTTTAAACACGGATGAGTGACTCAAGTTGTGCAGTTGTTATACATTCGGGCTTCTTAATACACTGAATAGAAATCAGCTAAGTAAAAAGAAATGCTGAAGTACAACTTTGAAGGAATGTAGAAGTCATGGTATGCACTATGTAAAACAATGGTGGGTAAAAGCGGGTAAAATTCACACCTGAGAAAGAATCTCTATAACTGATCTACGTCAATGCAGGGTATCTGCAGGTCTAAGTGGACATTTTAGGGTCATTTTGACCAGTTGTAGGAGTTTGCACAAAGGCAAACTTATCAATAGAGATGTGTCCAATTTGCACCAAAATTTGAAAACATAGAAAGTGCACAGGTGGACCATGATACACTGATGTGCCATAAAAAACCAATTTTAAAAAGTGAAATTTTAAAATTTCAGCCCCTGAAGCCAGTTTCACTTACCAACAGAAACCTTGACCCAAAAAAATAAAATAATTATGATTATAATTATAATAATCTGCATTTGCTACCTTAACAAATCCTCGAAAACCTTCGCCGCTTAGTTAGATACGGACGGCCTTTAAAAATAAAGGTTTTAAAAATTCAACCCCTGAAACCAGTTTCACTTCGCAACATGAAAGTTGGTAGGTATACCTATTATGAGTAAAAAGATTCAAGAAGCCATGTCAGAAAAGACACAGGAGGTCTGCCATTTTGGTTTTAATTTTGGGGCCATTTTGGCCATTTTCAGGGTGCCTTTTCTGAGAGATTTTGTCGACTACATCTGAGGCCTATATACTACACAGATGGATGACGCTATATTGGAAAGAAGTTTGATTTGTTTTCAACCAGTCATTTACGTGTCAATCCCTCCAAATATAAACTCCTCCTAGAGAGTTTATCCACTTTTGGAAGACGCCAACTTTTGAAACAGTTTTCTTCAAGACGCCAAGTTGGAGGGAGACACAGGAAGAAGCCAAGTTGGGAAAAACAGGAAGACAACCATTTTGGTTCAAAGTGGCTGATTTAGGGTCACGTTTACAAATTTGATGCACTGACAACTCTAACAAATCAATCCGCACAGAGTAATTGAATGGCCGCACCTGAACAGGCCGGCTGGGCGGTGTGCTGATGAGCGGAGCAGCGCCCATGGCGGACGCGGCGGTCAGGCTGCGCTCCCTCTCCTCCTGGTAGATGCGGTCACGCTCAGCTTCGGGCAGCTGCAGGAAGTTCTGCATGGCGCGCAGGTTGACAAGCAACGACTGCGAGGCTGTTTTGGGGTCCTCTTCTTTGCGCAGGATCTCAGACAATAAGCCCTGCGGGACAGCCAGACAAGGAGAGTTCAAGAAAATGAAAGACAAAAGACTTGTCACAGAAGTGTTGGTAAGCACTGGCTGTGTCCTACTTGTGAAAAAATACAAATGTACCACAGTCTTGTTAAGTGGCCAGTGGTTGAAAAGTGGTCGGTTTAGCAAGATGGGACAAGGTCTCTGGTAATGTTAAAGGAAGTGTGGCAATTTCTAGCAAGTAGTGGCTGAATCTTATTCGTGGCAATAATCAACTGTAGTCTTGATGTTGCAGGGAAAAAATGGTTAGGGTCAAGCAACATTAAATGAGGCCTAAAGTAACATTTTGTGCCAAGTACTGGCTCTGTTTGACATATTCTTCATGTGCCAGGGAAGAAAACTGTTCAGGGTGACAAGATGGAATCCTGTCACCCTGAAACATTTAAAGGTTCTGTGAGAATTGCTGGAAATTGCTGGCTTTGTCTTACATGGGACAACAATCGAAATGTTTTCATATGCTAGGGAGGAAAACTGGTCAAACATATTGTAAAAAAATGAGACTAACATAATATCATGTTTTTGAGGAAAAACTGTTGATTTATGATCATTTGTGGAAATCAAATCAGAGTGAAAATGGGGTTCCAAGCCTTGCGGGGCAATCTTGGACATATTCTTAGAAGCGTGACACAGCTGGCAATCAGCATGCCCTCTTGTTTTCTCGTCAATAGCGTTCTGTGTAGCATGATTGGCTCTTTTTAGGAATCTCTCGGTCGCACGCTGCGCAATTCTCTCACTGTCAATAGGTGTGATTTGCTTTGAAAACAAGGTGACGGAGGCAATGTGCTGATTTTTAGCCACTTTTTAGTTGACTTGCAAATGTTCTGTCGTGTTGGCGTAAAAGCAGAAACTATTTTGTCATTATTAAATGTCCACAAAAGATGTACGAGTAGACTCTTCACTGCAGAATTATACACTGAGTCGTCGGTATTATTCTTGGCAAATCGCAATTTTGAGGGCTTCCCCATTGAAAAGAATTAAACAGATGAAGCAAAAATAATCCAGCCCCTGAAGCCAGTTGGATTTGGTAACATGAAATTTGGTAAGCATTTCTACCATGATTTGACCAACAACAACAAAAAAAGTCTCAAGAAACCAGTCCTTAAAAGACACAGGAAGTCGGCCATTTTGTTTGAAGTAGCCATGGTTGGTTTAATGGGTTTTTTTTCTTTGTTTTGTTTTTAATTCCAGACCCCGAAGCCAGTTCCTTTGAGCAACATGAAATTTGGCAGACATGTTGACCACGAGTATAAACCCCATAAAAAATGTCTCAAGAAGGCCTGTTTGAAAAGCAACAGGAAGTTGGCAATTTTGCCTTGTATTAGCTATTGTAGTATAATTTGGACCAATTCCAGGTTGCCCTTCAAAGGCACGCTTGTCCTATAGATTTTATCAAATTGATACCAAATTTCAACTGCATACGCGTGATGGACGGAAGAATTGTTTTGCGATCGTGAGAGGGTGGAGTACGGCAGCAAAGTTTGATGAGTCGCGTAAAACACTAATCTTGAGTAACTCAAGAAGGTCAGGCCCTGGTTCACTAAAGGCTTTCTCACACTCAAAAAGTCAACGGACCAAGTGGCCATTTTAGGGTCAATTTGGCCATTTCCAGTCAGGGGTCCTTCAAAGATGAACTTGTTCGAGAGATTTTGTCTGATTGCTACCAAGTTTGAAGCACGTACAATAGATAGATGTTTGACACGAAATTGTAAACTTTTTTTTCCCCATTGTGTGTGGGTGGACACATTTAATGACTGGCCATGCATAAATCACATCCTCAGCTACTCCCAAAGCTTCTCCACCAACACCTCCACCTGCACCTCATCTGCCGCTTTTATTAACACCCCCCCCACCCTGCTAAAAAAAAAAAAGAGCTAATAAATAATCCTCCAAAGACAAACTCTCAGACGGTACACAAGGCCACATTCTTCCATCAGCACAGATAACAGATTGTTTGTGTGGGAGACAGTACATATTGTACTTCGGGCAGGAGGAGAAGCACAACTAAAAGATTCTTATCATGTTATGTTCTACTGAATTTTTTTATTTTGAAGTTGAGGAGAGTCGTACATTTACATAAGCCAAACACGTGTTTGTGAAAGATCAGAATTTGACGACATGAGTTACGAATACCAACGCTTTCAAGACGATATATAAATAATTTAGAGGATTTAATGTTATTCTTGCGGATGAAAAAAAGCCTATTATTCTATGAAGGATTTTGTCAAATTTTCTGCAACTTTTTTCTTGAAATACAACTCGTCTTGTAAATATATGACGTTTTCTTAAAATATGTTCTTGTAAGACTATGACTTTTTCTTCTTTGATTTTCCTTTTCAGTGTGTCTCTGACGAATGGAATCAAATTGAGCCAATCCTTCCTCTTCGCTGCCACCTCACCTGAGTTCTGTTGAAGGCCACTCGGGCAAAGACGGCCTGCGATATGCCGGCCCGCTTGAGCTCATCGCGGACCCACTGGTAGATCTCAGAGGACACCTCGGTGTTGGATCCGACCTGGGGCTCCAAGGGCTTGGCGTGCGAGTTGCGGTTCACGGGTGGGTGATTAAGGTACTGTTGCGACAGCGACTGCTGCGCCAACAGACGGTTGACGGCGTACTGCTGGTTGAGGATCTGCGCCATCACCAGCTGCTGGTTGACCAGCTGGGGGCTGATGGGCGTGGACACCAGGCCCGGGTGGTGCAGGCCAGGGGGCATTTGCCGGCCCCCTGCCTGGCCCCCTCCGTGCTGCGGGGGTGGCGGCGGGGCGTGGGACAGCGGGGGCACCGGGGACGAGGGCGTCTGCTCGGCCGTGCTGCCCGGGATGGGCTGCTGCTGCTGGGAGAAGCCCAGGTGGTTGTGGTTGGAGCCAGGCGGTGACAGGTCGGACAGGCCATCCATCTCGGCTGGAGGGAAGATGGTAAGAAGAGGAACGGAAAATAGGGACACAACGTGAAATTCAAAAGAGAAAATGTCCTAAACAAAGGGGTCAGAAAACAGGGAATGACATTTTGGGAGACACTGTTTCATTTCCCAATCACTGCTTTTGGATTGTTGAGCAAGGCAACGGCAACTGTTTAGGAAGGACATCTCTAATTGGTCGCTATTTGACTGAACAAACCGCAGTCTGAAACACTCATTTGAAATCTTAATCTGTCTGAAATGCTAAAGAGAAATTCTAAGCCGAGTTTAAAACCCTAATTTATAAACTTAACCCAAGTCTGAAAACCCAAATTGAGTTTGAAAGCCTAACTTGAAAAGTTAGAAAAGCCACTTAGAAATGTTCTGTCTCAGTCTGAAACTCTAACCTCAGTTAATTTGAAAGCCTAGTCTGAAACTCCAACTTCAATTTGAAACCTTAACATCAGCCTTAGTTTGAAACCCTAAACCTGGCCAAAACCCCTAATTGGACATTCTTCCTCTCCCCTGAAACCCTGAAATCAGAACCTTATCCTGAAACCCTAACTATGGTCTACAAACCAAAATTTCAAACCACTACTTCAGATTAAAATCTTAATGTAAAACCCTAACGCTCTCACGAAATCATCATTTGAACCCTACCTTTGGTTCAGGGGTCAACAATGTCAAGAGTTTGGTTAAAAGACATTCTGAGCTCATAACATCAACGATCTTTGCTGCCAATGATGAACGTTTTGCGCTTTTGTTGTTGGACGTGAATGTGGCCTTTTCACAGCAGTGAGGGGGCCGCATTCATATGTGAACACCTCCACACTCTGCATTTATTCATCCCGATGAAAACGGCGCTAAGACATACTGTATGTTTTAAGCAGATGATGAAGATTAAAACCGCGTGGACTTTTTCCAAAAATACCCACAATCGTTGCGCCCCGTTTCCCGACTGTCAGCGAGCACAAAGCGAGCGGCCGGGATGTCTATTGAGCGTTTGTCAAAAACAAATGACGACGGAAGGGGGTGAAGGGGGTTAGTGGGAGTAACAACAACAACAACAAATAAAATCATCCTGGTAATAATCACATCTTCTTTTCCCGGTAATCCCTGCCATTCCCGGGTCTCTGCTGGTATGACTTGTATGTGAATGTGTGTGCGTGTTAAATGCTGGGGGGCACTGCCATGCAAATTGAATAGAGAAAAGGAGCATGCGGTCCCCGAAACAGGGGGGAGGAGGAGAAGAAGGAGGAGGAGGAGGAGGTGGTCCTCTTGTGGAATGATGCCACAAAAGAGTCCTGGATTAAAGGCACAATGGGAACGTGATGTGGGCCGCGGGGGTGAAGAAGTGAATGAGGAGCTTAGGTTACATTAGAAATGAGTAGGGATGGGAACTGATCAGAATTGACTGGACCAGATCCCGTAGTCGATACTGCTGCAAACCCAACCAGTAATCATAATCTTACGTCATATTAGATGGAAAATAAATCCTATTTTATGAATAAAAATAAGGACAAGTACTACTTAAAATACAACTTTAAAGCCCTTTTCACACTGCACTTAGAAGGATCTAACAGTGCAAAGGTGCAGGGTTCGATTCCAGGTCCGGCCTTCCTGTGGAGTTTGCATGTTCTCCCAGTGCCGACGTGGGTTTTCTCCAGCTACTCCGGTTTCCTCCCACATTCCAAAGACATGCGTGGCAGGTTAATGGAGCACTCTGAATTGTCCCTATTTGTGAGTGTGAGCGCAAATCATTGTTTGTCTGTGTGCCCTGCGATTGGCTGGCGACCAGTTCGGGGTGTATCCCGCCTACTGCCCGAAGACAGCTGAGATAAATTGAGTTACCAACCCTGTCATTGATTTTCCATACATTCATATACAGGTATATGATATATAGACATATATATATATTTTTTTTTGGTTTTCATAGAGTCCCCCTAATTCAAACACTGGCCTCCATCGTCCTGAAGGAAAGCGTGTGTGCGTGTGTGTGTGTGTGTGTGTGTGTGTATCCATGTGTGGCCAAAACATACCTAGTGCATTAGCACGGGGGCTCTCCCGAAGGATGCACGTACCCAGGTAGCCTTCCAGCTGGGATGATTGGCGGATGACTAGGGGGATGAGGGAAGCGTTGTCACACTCCCCCCCTCTCTCCTGCACCCTCCCGCTCTCACACGCGCACACACGCACACACACACACACACACACACACACACACACACACACACACACACACGCACGCAGTGGCGTAGTGAAGAAAGAAAGCAAAGTTAATATGCTAGCCAGGCACATCAAAGAACTTGCAGCTATGGGAAGTATGGCGCGACGCAATGCTTTCTACGGAATGAGCGGCCATTCCAAAAAGGGGTGCGCCCAATAATGTTCCCATGCCTTGATGAGATAGCGTCGCAATGTCACGTTATTAATTATCTGTCCTGTCATCGCAACCGAGAAGAGAAGATTGTGTTCGAGATTGCCAAGGATTGCGATTGCTCAACATCTTTGCTAACATGAATAATAATTAAAAAAAACTAAAAACTGAAAAAACATACAACACAGTAAGATCACCAGCTTGTGTGAAGCTTCTATGCTCCAACACAGATGTGAAGCACCCCTGCTCCCCACCAAAACAATAAAAATAAAATACAAATTTAGTTCAATGGGACGTGTATATATATTTTGTTTCTGCTAAAGTAACATAGACTGTCCAGTTGTCCCGGGCAGCAGTAGTAGCTCACGAGTATCATACAACACAGATGTGAAAACAGTCCGCCCCCCGCCCCCAAAAAAAAATTACCCAACCAAATTTGAAGTTCATTGATTGTGATATATTACAATGGCCATACACAGCTAACATTTGCCAGAAGTTGGTTGGTGGACTCCATGTAACACGGATGTGAACAATTCTCAAACACGGTGCTTCTACAACTAAAACATTGGTGATTTTAATACTACAATGACCATATATAGGCCAATGGTCCTCGGCTATAAAAAAAAGAAAAGGAAAAAAGCCTGAAGCCTCAATTTGTGTGTGGTGTGATTGGATCAAATGAAAGCAAAGTCAGCTCAGCTGCTGAACAGTGTGGCGTAATCTCAAATTATTAGATAACAAGATAAAAATGTGTCGGCCGCTTCATGTGACAGCAGTGAGACAAAGACACACTTAGTCAGACAACATATTGGGTTAGTGCGTGTGAAGGACAAAAGTGTGTGTGTCACATTTTTGTAAAAACCCGCCCCACGCGGTTCTGCTTACCCATCATATCCTTTGTCTTCTTGAAATGTTTATACCAGCGCCCAAATTCTTGACACTTTGCCGCCGACACATTTGCATAGTAAGTGCTGTTGACAATGGAGGAAATCATACTCTGAAAGAGAGATTGAGAGAGAGAGAGAGAGAGAGAGAGAGAGAGAGAGAGAGAGAGAGAGAGAGATGGACAGACAGAGAGATATGAGAATCCCGCCGTTGGATCAAAAAAAATAAATAAAAAGACTACATGGACAAAAAAAAGCAGTGAGCACAATTACAAAATTGACAGGAACTTCGAACTTACAGAGAAAATTAAGCAGTTGACAGATGCCAGAAGTTGATGTTCACTCCATGCAACGCTGACGTGACTTATAAATTCAGTGTTTTAAAAGCTCGAATAATAATATCAACAGTTCAATGGTCCTGGGATGGAATCGCAGTTCACAGGTGCCATGCAACACGGATGTCAAGCACTTGTCAGAAATACTGCCCAAAAAATCAAATATTAGTTCTGTGATGTTAATGCTGTAAAAGGAACAAATAAACTCAAAAGGTTCCCAGATGTTAGAAACGTATGATGACTCCATGCAATACAGACATGAAGCACTTCTCAGAAACAGTGCTCGTACAACTACATTTCACTTGTGATTTTAATGTAAATACAGTCAAGTGGTTCTGGGCTGGAATAACAGCTAGCCAGAAGTCGAGGTGCTTATTCAATTTCAGGAAATATTAGTCCAGTGATTTTAAAGTTATAATGTCCATATGCAGTGCAATAGTCCGGGGATGGAATGACAGTTCACCAGTGCCATGCAATGCAGATGTGAAGCGGTTGTCGGAAAGAGTGCTTTTACAACTGAATGCTATTTTGTTGGTTTTACCACTACAATGACCACTTGCATCTAAATGGTCCTGAGCTGGTCAAACAATTCCCAAGAGCAGTGCAACACAGATTTGAGGCAGTTGTCAGAGTGCTCATACAACAAATCTTAGTTCGGTGATTTTAATAGCTGTCTCCAGGTGTCAGAGGTCACCGTCTATTCTTTTTGACAAAGATGTGAAGCGTATCTCAGAAACGGCGCTTATAGAACTTTGTATTAGTTGACAGATTTTAATGCCACAAGGACCATCTGCAGTCCAATGCACCTGGAATAGCAGTTAGCCAGAAGTTGGAGGACCCCATGCAACACAGATGGGCAGCAGTTGTCAAAAAAACTGTGCTCGGACATGCAGTGGAGGTAAAACGAAAAGGCGACGACGGTACAACAGAGCAAGTCGACACTTTTGAGAGTACAAACATCGAGGAAAAGTAAGTGAAACACATCACGCATGCAAGCAGATTGGGTCTCGTACAACAAAGGGAACCGACAAAGAGCCTTTGCCTGTTCTCCTTTCTTATCAAATGCCACCGAGTTTGTCTGGAGTTGCTCTTTTTGTTTCATCACACAGGGAAGCTGTGCATCTGTTGAACGCAGTCGAGATCTTTACCTTCAGAAGGCCGCCACGTAGTCGTTTAATAATAATAATCGCAGCAGCTGGCTCCGTTTTAACAATCTGTTGGCAACTCGGAATTCAAGGAGATGGCAGGTCGCGGGGAGCATGTCGGCCGCGCGATCCCGTCTCATCCCATCACATCGGACCTGCGCCCTCCTCCTCATCCTCACCTTCCTCCTTCCTCGCAACTAAGCAAGAGAATCTTCGCCTCCTCCGTGGTGGCTTTTCATTATTAAAATGAATGTTTTAACACCTCGCTGGCCTCCGGGTGAATATCAAGGTTGGCACGGAAAGGGGGTTGTGGAGGGGGGGAGAGAAAAAAAAACACTTTTCGATCATCATACATATTCAAAAGAGACCGACCATCTGTTTTTGAATTACAGGTATATGCGCTCTTTATCATTTTTCCGTAATGTATGCGCTTGGGGGAGGTTGCTGGCGAGCACAGCAAGATCCACTGCGACGCTGATGATATACCTCGACAACAAGGGGACACGATCCCTCAACTCCTGACCTCCAAGTCACCCCGTTCACTTGTTTATACCATCATGCACAGGGTGGAAACTTGTGACAAATGTATGTAAACAAAACTGACAAAAATAAATAAATAAATCCATCTAGCTACTGGTCCAGAATGCTGCCTGAATACCGGGATCAATCACGATATATTTTTGGGAAAATCTAGCAAATGAGCACCCGGTCCAGGATAGTGCGACTTGAGTGCTGACTACAACTTGTATTACAGCAGTGAATCTACGATTAAAAAGAAAAGAAAAATAAAGCAATAAAAGTGCTTTACATTCGCCAGTGACGATCAGCTGGATAGATAATGACACACTCATAAGTAAGAGTGTTTTATTTTGAAAATCAATGGAGGGTTAACCACCAGTTTACAAATTGAGCAATTTCCCTCATGGATCAATAACGTTTTTATTTGGAAGTCCAGCAGATGAGCAGCTGGTCCTGAATACTACTACTCGAGTGCTGACTTGAACTTTTAGAATAGCAGTGACTGGGAGAGAGAGCGAGAGTGAGTAGGAGAGAGTGAGAGGGTGAGGGAGAGACTGAATGCTGCTACTCGAGTGCCAACGAGAATTCAACTACATTGCTGTTGATCAGAGTGATTCCTCACTAACTACACTTACACTTTAGTCAGGAAGTGTGAGTCATCTGTGATATTAATGTTCCCAAAAGAGTTACCAATGTCCATCAGGGATCAATAAAATTAGGTTTTATTTTGAAAGTTATGGAGGACTAAGGGCCAAGTTATGCAATCAAAATTCTTCAAAATTCGGTACATAAATTAGTGTGAGCATGACATCTGTGCGTTCATTTATCGAGCAGATGGGCAGCTGGTTGAGAACGCTGCTTCTCGAGTGCTGACGAGAACTTATATAACAGCACTTATTCTGCGGGATCAAAACTCACAACAATTGGACGACGGCGGCTTTGATTGGACGGCAATGACATGCGGGATAGTGGGAGAATGCTGGTACAAGCTGCAAAAGTTGAATCACTCTTGTCTTCATTTTAAATTTGCATATACCTTAAAGCAGGGGTGTCAAACTCATTTCTGTCGTGCGCCAAAATTTTAGTGACCGTTTCCCTTGGAGGGCCGTTATGACTGAAACCAAATAAAAAAAGTTAATAATAATGGTTTATTCAACTATTGTTTAAGATAAATTAAATGATGGGTTTGGTTACAAGAAAATGTTTAAAATATGTCTTTTATTACATATGAGATTTTTAAATTTTAGTTCAGATTTTAACAGGCATCGCGGAAGTTGACATGTTTGATTTGCTTTCGCGGGCCACATAAAATGATGTGGCGGACCAGATCTGGCCCCCGGGCCTTGAGTTTGACACCTGTGCCTGAAAGAATTCAAGCTGTAAGCTTCATAATGGTTAAGATAAGAGCAGCTGCTTGCTCATGAGATATGCCGCCATTTACACGTGATCTGATTAATCTGCTAATCGCAACTATCGGTGAGTCGTCGACTCGCAAAATAATGATTTGTAGCCTCCATGCAACACAGATGCAAAGCAGCTCTCATGAGGAGTTAACAGCTTATAGGATAGCTGTACATGATAATTGTCATATAAATATGACTAAATATTGTCAGTGATTTCATGCTAGAATGTTTATAAAGTCCAATGATCCTTGGGCTAGAATAGAAAGTGCCAGAAGTTGCGCTGGTTGCCATGCAACACAGATGCGAGACAGTCGTCGCAAACTGCTATTTTTCTGAAATCGAAAGCATTGCGAAAATATTTTTGTTGCGTTTTCTTGGGAGGCCCTTCACTGAATACTTGCATTCACTAAATATTAGTTCTGTGATTTAATGTGGCGATAACCATCTGCAGTCCTACTATATATGCAACCGGTTTGTAGCATATGTTCAATCAGCGTATAGCTAGTGACACCTGGGGGAGGGGTGGTGGCCAATTAGCGTCGTCTGGGCGGGGAGGGGGAGGATTAGGAGGACATTTTGTGCTCAAAATTGGAGGCGAGCAGGATGAGGCACATTCGGACATGCGGCGTATTACAAAGCCGCCTTTTGTGGCTCCGCTGAAAAGCCTTCATTCAATTTGAGTTGAGCTGAGTGGAGGGTTAGCAAGGCAAAGTCTTCCTTTTAATGGCTCATACATTTATGCATGATGGCCTTCTTTACTTTGTCCTATTGGATTTTGGCCTTTTTATCTTAGCTTTTAATGTAGTGAATCGTAGTGCGTCCACCGCTACCTGGCTTAGCCTCGCCGAATTCCCCTCCAGCCAGCCGCCCATGTTTTATTTACAGTGTATCTGGGCTTAGGCATCCTCACTCTCTCTTGATTCCCTTCGAAAACCCCCACCCACCCACTGCTTTTCCAAGGCTGGCTCGCCCTCGCCGCCATCTTTGACACAGATGTTCTAATAAACGCTGCTCATTAATCAGCCCTCTCCCTCAATACATCACGCCAGCTCTCTCACAAGGGGCCCGGCCTCGTGATTGTGTGTGTGACGCACAAAACAACAACAACAACACACACACAAACACACACACACACACACACACGCACACACACACACACACACACACACACAAACACACACACACACACACACACACACAACTAGAACCCTGTGATGCCACTTTGGTTGCCATTGGGAAGGCTCTGTTACAACATATCAACAGGTAACATGGCACTGCACCTGTGTGTAGTGCATATAATATGTCTGTGTGTGTGTGTGTGTGTGTGTGTGTGTGTGTGTGTGTGTGTGTGTATAGGGGTGGGCTGCAGCTCACTGAGCTTATCAGCATGACCAGGAAGTGGCACTGGGCGACTATCGGGCCCCAACATCTATTCTGTTCCCATCTAGGGAAACAGGAAGTGTGTGTGGTGTGGCATCTGACACACACAGACACACACACAGGCAGAATAGCACGCTTACACCATCAGACACACACATTCCTATTCGGGCAGGGAGCACAACTGCATTTGCAACCTCGCCAACATTACAGCTCAATTATGACATCCACCACAACTAGGGTGACCTACAAAAACTGCCCCCACAATACACACACACACACACACACACACACACGCACACACACACACACACACACACACACACACACACACACACACTAAGATGGCATTTTGATGACTCTTTGCAGCTGATGCATCGGTGTGTGTCCAGAGATTGGGGAGGGTGGTGCTCATTTGTTGCCATAGTTCCTGTCCAAGTGGGCAAAGGAGGGCTGCCAAGCTTGGTACCAACCAACCACAGTGCTAAACCATGATTGGCTGATTGGAGCGAGAGGGATTAGCACACTAAGACTTCAATGCAGCGGTCATGACTGAACACATACATCCTATTCGTGGACATGACACCTATGACATTACTCCCTGTGTGGATACAAATATAGGAAAAGACTGAAACTAAATAAAAACCGAGTGGTGTGGGATTTTTTTTTTTTTTTTAATGGCAGTGTTGTTCATAAGGATAAAAAAGTGTGCCTTTTTGAATAATAAATCATTATTGTTATTAATGCTCGAGTGCTCATAAAACTAGAGAGCATAGATCTCCCGTGCCAGGTTAAATGTTTTGCTTTGCTTCCTTTAAAGAAAAACGAAAAACAAAACACCAGACTAGAAATAAAAGGTGACTCCCGAAATCATGCTTCCCCACTTACACAGCAGGTCAGGGTAACGGAAGACGGGCCAAAAATGTCTTAGGTCAAATCGTACCCTACCGAGATGACAGATGGCAAAAGCACGTAGATGCACGCAGCATCGTTTGTGACGAAGGTGCGAAGTCAAAACTACGCAGTTTCCCTTCAAAACCTCAGGTTGCGTCGATGCAAAGCAACACACAAGCTGTTCCCTCTGAATAATAGAATACAAATAGGAACGTCACATTGTGTTTTTCTGCACTTGGTTTATCCAAATCAAGTCATGACGATTGGCTGTTGCTTTTATGGCTAAACATCACTCCAAACAAAATAGAAAACACAATGCAGTAATAAAACATGTTTTCGTTCCGTCACTTTGATATGGAGTTGGAGAAGCTCTATCTGAATGTTCTCGAACAAATTACTGCCATTCCAGTGTTCATTTCTAGGGATCCTTCAAAAATTAACTGGAATCAAGAAGAATCATCCCGAACAGCCAGTTTCACTTAGCGATAGAATATTTGATAGGCATGCCTACGACAAGTCAACCCACAAAAAAAAGGTCAAGTAGCCATGCCTGAAAACACCATAAACTGCCATTTTGTAATAATTTCCACAGATCCTTCAAAGATGGACTTGTTGGCTGGGTAGCACCTACTGTAATTAACATAATTCAGCCCCCCAAAGCCAGTTGCACTTGACAACATGAAACGTGGTCTATCATGTGATGATCCACCAAAAACTTTGTTGTAGCATGTGGGCAAACCACAGCGACCAGAGAATAACTATAAAACTCTCATAAGTCATTTCCACAAGTTCGGATTGACCAATAATCACGAAAATAAACAAAAAGCTCAAATATTATCGAGTCTAAACATACAGAAACAGCTCCCAGCTCAACTAAGAGCACAATAATAGACATATTGTTACAATAATAAAAAGAAGAGTTAAAGAGATCTTCTTTTGCACTCACGAGAGAACGGAGGCATTCTTCAATTTAATTTTTAAATTGTTTTGAATGTGATGATAATAATAAAATGTGTGTGTGTGTGTGTGTGTGTGTGTGTGTGTGTGTGTGTGTGTGTGTGTGTGTGTGTGTGTTTGCCAGCGTGTACGTGTGCGCGCACTCTCTTCTGAGCCTTCTTCACATATGGACCGTAAACAGGGTGATTACCAGACTGGGCTGGGCTCCGCCTGAACGCCACCCAGGGACTCTTTACATCATCAGCGCACTGCTCATGGCCGGCTAAACACACAAACACGCCGCCGCAATGCAAAAGAACACACACACACACACACACACACACACACACACACACACACACACACACACATACACACATACACACACACACGCATGCACACGCACACACTGCACGAGAGGGTCTCCAGGTGACCATACGCTAGCCTGAAAGGAGATCTGCTTGCACATACACTAACAATATGCAACACAATGAAATATAGTTTGGACTCACACATTGCGCATATGCATTGCACAAACTTTGCATTGATGCGCGCATACGCACACACACGCACAAAGATATATGGCCATTTCATTGCATTGAGTCCAGAGCTGCCACCGTGATATAGTGACTAGAGTGCCTGTTAGCAGGATATATGCACACTCAACACACACACTGTGAGCGTGCGTGTGTGGGTATCGCAGAGGACCTCACGAGATTCTGCCAACAATAATATCATGAGGTTGAGATCATGGAAATGGATCAATTGGAAGAAAACCATCTGATGCCCGGAAGGGTTGGCTCAGAGTCCCTTAAAATCACCGGCCTCCTCAAACTGGGGTCCGAAAAAAAATATTTGCATATTTGTCATATTGTTTAGAAAAATGCTTTATGATATTCCTGCGTGAATAAAGACTTTATTATGAGCAAAAGGTGTATTATTGGAATGGACCTTGATGGATGGACATTATAATTATTTTCTCTGGAGTGAATTGCGGGGTTTATAATTTTACAAATTCCTACTAGTGACTTTCCTTGCTGGTAGAAATTCGCAGAATTCACTGACTGATACTGGATAATTCATCAAGTTGATTTTGACCAGCAAATACATCTTATATGCCAATCATCAAGAAAGTTGTTGGCATTGGGCTTACTAAAACAAAGCAACAGCAATCGGTTGAGTTTTCATTGTTGGGGGACGGAAAAAAAAATGTTAGAAATATGCTTTCATTAGAGAGGAGAGCTTATATAACACAGATCAAACTCAAGGCATTTGATAATATTGGAATAGTAAGTCACGGATAAAGTGCGTGTGCTTTTGTGTAGCATAGCTGGGCTTTTTTGTTGCTCTGAGAATATATATTTTTTTTAAAGGGGAAGTAATAAGCAGACTGGGCTTCAGCACCTGTGATAAGGGGCATTCTTTAGCCAGAGAGCTCTGATTCATGTCTTTGAGTAACTCCTTGAGGGCGTTTCTTACTGTAGAGTGGCTCCATTGCTCTGGTGGCAGGTCCTCCAGCTTAGGACAACTGCGGAGAGAAAAAAAAAAAGAGAGAGAGAGCGAGAGATAGAGAGAGAGAAGGGGGGGTGGGAGATGGGAGAGGGAGGGCATTTGAGAAGAAGATAGGAATAATGAGAAACAATTCAGATGGAGAGCAGGCAGATAGCACGGATAGCACCGATGTTATCTTGAATGAAATTATTGGTGCAGCAATTCAACGTCCGACATGATTTAATCTTCATTAAAGTGCAGGGACAATTCCCCAATATGAAGGGATAATCACGGCCATCTTTGAAAACTGCGAAATAACAGCAACGTCACGTGACGCTCCGATTAAGGCAACCGTAGTTTCTCGGAACATGTCGGGTGAACCTATCCACCACTTTTGATGTCAGTTGGCGGTCATCGTGGTGTTGGAAGACCCAACTGCACCCAAGACCCATCGTGTTTGACAGTAGTTGTGTTTTGGGGGTTATTGCTGTGGCCATTGGGGACAAACAGCTAAATTTTTCTTTCATCTGACCATTGAACTTTCCTCCAGTAGGTCTTATCTTTGTCCATGTAATCGGTAGCAAGCTTCAACCGAGCTTTAAGGTGCCGCTTTTGGAAGCAAGGGCTTCCTTCTTGCACGCGAGCCTCCCAGTCCATGGCGATGCAAAACACGCTTCACGGTGGACACTGACACCTGTAGATTCTAATTCTTGGCAGTTCTGCTTTTTGGTGGTTCTCGGTTGACTCTTCGTCCTGCTGACCAATTTTGGCTCGGCAGCAGGTGATAGTTTGCATTCCCTACCTGAGCGTGGCAGTGACAAAACAGTGCCATGCACTTTATACTGACAAACAATTGTTTGCACGTTTGGCTCTTGGCACCCGCAGCTGCTTGGAAATGGCTCCAAGTGACTTGACGCAACTTTCTAAGTCACCAAAAATGGTCATTTATGTTGCTGCATGTATATTTTTGCGCGTTTCATGTGTGTGGAGAGCAAGATAACCGACCCGTTTTTCAAATATTGTATGGATACGCCACTTGAGTTTCAAGAGCGTATATGACAAGTCATGTGCAGCATATTCCAAACACGATACAGCATCAGTGGGTATGAAGTGGCAGACTGAGCTATGAAGGAGAAGCAGCAGCAGCAGCACCACCTCCTCTTTCTCTTTCCCTCCCTCCTCCTCCCTCCCTCTCTCTCTCCATTCTCTCAGTTTTCCTGCTGCAAGCGCCCCTCCAAGACAGACAGATTTCATTTGGCGCATCAAGCAGATGCATCTGGAGATTACTCCCTCGCTCTTTCCCTCTCTCTCTCACTCCCCTTCTCTCTCTCTCTTTCTCTCTCACTCCTTTGCTTCCATATTCTCTCTCTCCCCCCCTCTCCTGATTGTTCTGATTAGTTAATTACTTTATACAACACATCTGCTGGATTGATGCATGAATTATACATCAGCTGCATGTGGCCGCCGCCGCCGCTATTATTTTGTCTTACTTCTACCTTCTCGCCGTGCTTTGCCAAAACATTGGCTACATGTCTTCAGTAGTCAGGTGAGGGACGAGGGATGTGGACGGGGTGGGGGTGTGGGGGGGGTGAGATAATGGAGAAAATAACAACAAGGTGCAGGAAATGTACACACAAAGTAGATTAGGATATTAGCAGAAAAACGACACCAGTTCGGAATCAGCTACCAGGGTAGCTGAGGGTTAAGGGGAGCCAAATTTAAGACCCCTCCTCCACCGAGTATGACTGCAAGGAGAGAAATGTCAAATTGTTTGGATCGACAGTCATTCCCCCACTATATTGCAGTTCACCTACTCCAGTGCCCCAATATTGAGAATATATCGTTTAACTAATTCACACACAGCGGCCCGCCCGGTGGTCCAGTGGTTAGCACGTCGACCTCACAGTGTAGAGGTACCGGGTTTAATTCCTGCCTCCCTGTGTGGAGTTTGCATGTTCTCCCCGGGCCTGCGTGGGTTTTCTCCGGGTACTCCGGTTTCCTCCCACATTCCAAAAACATGCATGGCAGGCTGATTGAACACTCTAAATTCTCCCAAGGCGTGAGCGTGGATAGTTGTTCGTGTCTGTGTGCACACACACACACGCACAAGGTTGCATTTGTTTTTTTTTTTTGTTTTTTTTTATGGCTAACCATCCTCTTCACTACTGTCTCCCCTCCAGATTTTTCTAGCCACAAGAGAAATTTGCTATGGAATACCCAGCGTGTGCGTGTGTACGTCTGCCCTAACCTGTGCAGCTGGATCTTGAGCGTGACCACGTGGTAGACATCCTGCAGCATGTCGGCCACCGTGGCGTCGGGCGCATCAGTCACGTATGACAGGGGAATGGGGTTCCACTTTCCCACCTGAATCATACCTGGTGGAAAATTGATGCAAAAGTTATGCGAATTGTTTTATTGTTCCACCTGTGATTAACTTCTTACACTTGTATGCCAGTTAAACATATTTTATATCAAGGATAAGAAATTAACGAAAAATTAAGGCAGCAGAAGACATTTCATCCGAAATTTATGTTGCATTTTGAAATATATTTCTAGATTTTTTTTTTTTGCGGGGGTGGTTGGTGGGTCAATTTGACCCACAACATGCGAAGGAAGTGTTTGCGAAATAAAAATTCATTTTAAAATTTGCATAACACTAAATTAGTAATTAAAGCCAGCCAAATACATCTTATCACACATTTTTGAAGACTGAAGATTTTTAAAACTTTTTTTCTTAATGGGGAGGTATCCAACATAGCCGGTATGGCTTGTTTGAAAATTCATAATTAATTAAAAATATGTGAAGTAAAAAAAAGATGAAATAAGTGTATCCCTGAATAAAATGCTTGTTTTGTTTATTTAAATCAGGAGGGTTAAAACATTGCCTGTAAAAGTTTAAAAAGCTCGATCTATTTCCTGTGATAAAAAATAATCTCAATATCACCTAATCAGACCATTATTTGGGTGTTGCAAATAAGTTGGAATCTTTAGTTCCCCCATTTTCACAGAAAATCTTTTTTACACTAATAAAGGCACTACTGTATGCGCGGTATCAGTGATTAATGTGTCTGGCTGTCTCAAGTGCGCCATTCAGTGAGTAGCATTCGTGCAACAAAAGGGAGAGGATCAAGAGGCCGCGACAGCGCTTACCTTTGGCCTGGGCGGCAGAGCTGTGCGAGTACCCGAGCGAGAGCAGCGCCATCTCGATGAGCTGATTGAAGAGCATGTCCTTGCGCACCAGCACGAACTCGGCGTGCTCCTCCTTGCTGTCAAAATCCATAGGATTCTCGTAGTGCTCCACCACGCAGAAGACGGGCAGCATGTTGCCTGCCAGACACACGCACACACACGCACGCACGCACGCACGCACGCACGCACGCACGCACGCACGCACGCACGCACGCACGCACGCACGCACGCACGCACGCACGCACGCACGCACGCACGCACGCACGCACGCACACACACACACACACACACACACACACAGAAAACCTTCTTTGAGCGATTGCTGTCTATGCACAATGGCCGCGTGAAGATCATAAAATGCATTTTTTTCTTCTTTTATGGGACAATTTCTATCTGGACCCGTCGCCTATTTGTCGTGTCGCCAAAGTGAGGTATCAAACACTTCGGCAGGAAAATAACCTGCGCAATAACACATGCTGAGGTTCATTTAAAGATGTGATTTTAGTTTCAGTTTGATGCCTTTCTTCCATGTAAAACTGTGCTTGGACACACGTTTTGGGACAACGGGATGGTAAAAGTGTCAAAAACAATGTTTCTTCTTCGATGATAGTTTGATCTCTTCAAAATTTGATCGGGACGGGTGGCCGGAGCGACGTGCCCAACGCTCATAAATTAGCGATTAAAAATAATTTTAGGGTGATGTGTTTGGTCAGTGAAACAAGGCGGCAGTTGTTTTGGAGATATGAGGAACATGCCTGGGAGCAGATGTTCCTGTTGATAGGCCTTTTCTGTAACCCTGCACAGCAAATTGAAGACCATGACAGAGTTCTGTTGCAACTCATATCACAATTAAAAGTGGAAAAATTTGGGGCAGCCCATGACTGTTTGATTGCAGGCTACTTCCTAATTCTTGGAGAATGACATAAGATGAAAGGAAGACAGTACCATTTTGGATTCTGGAAGAGGGGGAAGAGTTCTATTATTGATCAAGATGCAAAAACAAATCAAAAAGGCGAGGGGAAAAAAAAATGGAGGAAAAAAAATGCCATTTTGATTTTAGGAGCCAGTCTGTTTGTTAGCTGGCTGGCTGCTTCTTGGTTGATGGAGAACAGCAGGACAAAACCATTTTGGATTCTGGGGTGGGGTGAATGCTTCTATATCCACTCAAAAAAGCAAACAAAACTGAAAAGAAAAAAAAACAACAACAAAAATGTCGATTTTTGGATGTATGTTGTTAGTCTGACTCTTGGAGGATGACATGAGACAACAGCACCGCATGAGTATGAATTCTGGGGCAGGGCGAAAAGCATTCATGAGAATCTTCTCACCCTCAGATCCTTGTCCAAACGTGGTTAAAAGATCAAATACTGTAAAAATATCACTACAGGTGTAAATGAATACAATTTCTTAAAAAAAACAGCATTCCCAAAGCACAAAAGTACTTTGAAGCACATTGCGCTAAAATGTTAAGTCCATGAGACCTTGGCGATGTTCTCACACTATTGTCTTCTGCCTATTAAACTGACATCACATCCTAATATTTTCCAATCCCTGGCATTCCAGAAGATGCGCGCAGAGTCCTGGCAAAACAATCAATCAGCCCACAGATGCCAGGGAATGTGCTGAAAGGGCTGCTTTTCCTCCTGCCTCGATTTTAATAGATAAAGATCTAACAATAAAGACTGCTGTGTAGGTTCATTTGAGAGGGGCGGGCAGGGTGGGGGATCAATACCGGCTTTGTTTCCCGGGTAGCCCGCAGACGGGCGGCGGTAAATATTGTTCTGGCGCTCGGACACAATGCCCGCTGTGGGTCCTCTCGCCAAGGCTTCGGCGAGGCCCTTCTGCTACGGATGATGGAGGTGAGAAATTAGGCGCTCTCAGCTGGAGCGCCGCAAATCGCAGGTTTACAAGGAAAAGGAAAAACGGCACATCCGAGGACGCCTTCGCAGCCAACAATGCTCAAACAAACCCAATTTGACATCCTAAAAGGGTAAATAACAAAAATAAGGCGAGCATTTTTTTTTTTGTTCTCTTCTGCTTGTGAATTTAGTTTCAGTTTTTCTTCAAAAAGGGCTGAAAGCTTGCGCGGCGATGTAGGAGCAAAATATCAGTATGTCGTTTTAACAAAACCCATAAAACATCATTTGGTTCTGGGGCCGGATTGGATTCATTCTATTTTTATTGCTTCAACTTGCTAACAGAGGATCGGGAAAATAAAACAAAAAAAAAAGAAAGAAAAATAACTGGATAACAGAGGTTGCAGAGTCCAGGCATTTGTGCATTTTCTTTAAGTGAAATAATCTGTAAGCCATTTATTTTTAAGGTTGTAAAAGACTTTGAAATGAGATAAAACGGGATCATCATTTGTGGTATGAATATAAACCAGTGCTATTCAATTATTCTCCGCCTGCCCCCCCAAGGAAGAACAAACATTTTGCGGCCCACCCCCCCAACTCTTTACCGCGACTATAAATAGTATTGTTTGTCTATAAAATTGTTATAAGTACACCTCTGCATAACATTGTCCCCTTAACAACATTAATGAAAACAAAACAGAAAAAAAGAAACAAAGGCCAACTTACAACAAACAACACAGTAACTTTATCACCATTTTTTTTTAGGGCATCCTATAAAAGAATTGAAGTGCATGAATTTCCGTAAGATTAAAAGAAAAACGAAATGGCGCTACTCTCCTGGATGTGCAATTACACTTTATTCTAGTACAACAAAATAAAAACATATTCCTGAGGCCACAAGTACATGTTGTTTAAAGATTTGCAATTACCCTAATGTTTGTGCAAATTTTATTAGCCCAGCTAAGGTGGTTTCCATTACATGTCAGCATTAAACTAGCAAGCTTTCGCCTGATGAAATCAGATAGTTTGGTTGAACATTTTCATATTTAATAAGTATACTGCAATACTTTCTTGATGAATGTGTTAGTTTTATAGTCAACGTCAAACTGGGATTGGCAGCGAGAAGTTTTTGGGAAACTTTTGGTCTTATTAGGAGAACTATGTGAGCAAGAGAGGCTTCTTTTTTGTTTCCTCAAAGTGATGTTATATGTTAGTCTCCCATTTCTTGACAGCAAGAGGGCGAGAAGAGGCATTGAGTAAATAACTTTAAGAAGGGTAGTTTTAATAAGTTTGCCTTTGTTTAAAGCGGGGAAACCATTCGGGAAAAAAAAAAAAACTAAGCACGTTGTCAAACACAAGGGCCAGATCCGCTCCGCCAGTTCATTTTATGTGGCCCGCGAAAGCAAATCATGTGTGTCAACTTCCATGATCCCTGCTAAAATCTGTACCGAAATGTCAAATTATCACGGGTAATAAATAATGTTGAATTTTGTTACCCTGTTTACAATCAGCTGAACAATAACTGACCAAACTATTATAGTTGACTTGACTGATTTCAAAACTAGTAATTCATCAATTTGTTGTGTACAAGTCATAATACGATGAGACGATCGAACATCTGTTCGGTTTCCCTGTCATAACGGCCCGCCGAAGAGAAAAGGTCAAAGTGGCCCATGCCAAAAATGAGTTTGACACCCCTACTCTGCAGTATTTTGCAAAATTTCACCTATCACGGATGGATCTGTTACACATTGTCCGCGATGAATGAGGGTTAAGTGCTCCAAAGCGTTGGGCTTGAAACAATTCCTTTCATGGAACTTCTCATGAAGGTTTGGCGGGGGTGCGGCACGGCTGCTGGGCTCTCCACAGTCCTTCCACTCAGAATGATGAAGGTGAGGAATTAGGCTCTCTCAGCTAGAGCGCCACAGTCGCAGATTTAAAAGGAGCGACGGCGACGGGAAAAAAAACAACAACAAAAAAAAAAAACGGCCCATTCGAGGACGCCTTCCCAGCCAAACAAAGCCACTGTACTCACGCCAAGTGCAATAATGACTCGGAACCTGCAGGTTTTCCAAAGTCATTTCAAAAACAAAACATTGTAACTGTTTAAGAAAAAAAAAAGCAACTTTGGCGGGGTTAAAGAAAAACAATATCATAATCGCAAAATGGTTTTTGGAGGATAAGAAAGTTGCAGGTGGGTAAACAAAGAAGCTGGAAGGGTTTGTTTGAAAATGACTACACCTGATTATATATTTAAAAAATACATTAAAAATTAAAGGTGGTGGAAGAATTTTATCCCCCAAATTTTTGTTTCATTGAGTTTTCTTTTTTTCAATTTAGCGACTTAAAAAGACAAAGCATATAAAACCAAAATATTTTGTCTGCTTATCTTACAATTGATATAGAAGTTGGTTTCCTTTGTGGCTCATGGAGCATGATTTTAATGTTTGGATAAACAGATGGGATTTGCAAATTCAAACATATTTTTAAATATGTGACATAAAAGTGAGAAAATCCCAAAAAGCCATCAGAATAATTTGAAACCTGCGTTTTTTTAAGCCTGGAACCTCGAAACTCATAAAAAAATAAATAAATAAAATAAAAATTACAAAAATAAAGAGAGAGGTAGAAAAAAGGTTCTAACTATAAAAAATGCCACCTCTTTTTGGACATTTAAAAAAAAAAATGTCACAATGGCAAAGTGGCTCTTGGAGGACGAGAAAGTAGGAGGACTAACGACACAGCAGCAGCGATGCAGCACGACACAGCGATGATTCTCACAGTGCTCCTCTGTTTGCCATTGTCCGCCACAATAAGTGTGTGTGAGCGCTTTTGCGTTTGTGTGCGCGCGTGTGTGTATTTGCATGCTGCGATGACTAAAGGAGCATTGTGACGAGGGTTTAAGAGTTTTGGAGTGCATGCATGCAGGCCGTGCGGAATGAGCGACGTTGGTGGTGGGAAGTGGATGAGGGGCTTGCATGTTGTACTCAACTTTAAATGGCAATGAGTGTGATTGGATTAAACTCAGCATTTTATTATTAATGCGCCAAATCTTTATTAAATCTGCAAATTCTCCAGGCAGTAAAAAAAAAAAAAACCCAGCTCATCACACTTTCCCAATTAAGAATAAAGTTGATCCTGTGTACACAAAGCAGCTGGGATTTTTTTTTCTAACGCTAACTAAGTCACAACTATCCATTTTTGGCATCTATCCATTGGGATAATGTAGCCAAAAGGTCATGTTCAAAGCGGTTTGCAGTGCCACGCTATGATATCACGACTTACGAGGGACAAACAAATATTTCCATTGGGCGATGTATCGTTGTCTTCTGTAATAGAATCGCATCAACGATCAATGTTCCAATTTGGGACTTCATCCAAATATCTGCATTGACGCAATGACATAACTATTCTAAATGGACATCTGGACGTTGGACATAAGATTTTCTTTTCTTTGTAATCTTTCTTTTTCGGTTAAATTATGTGGAACTCAACGATTGAATTCCTGTCTTCATTAGTTACAGTCCACGGCGAAGAGAATAGAGGAGAAATGTGTTTCTCAATGTTTGCAGAAAAGAGTTGATGCGAACTGTGTAGTACTCAATTGTGGACGTATAGCGTTACTGTTTTCCGCCATTTCAGTTTTCGTGACTTTAGTTGTGGCTAAAATGGCCCCCGGTGACTTGGGCCCCTGGCTTGAGTCTCCTTTCCCCTACTATCGGAGAACTTTCACGTTTATTTTAGCATAAGCAGTTTTCCGGCGCAATTGCAACATGCAGTTAGCTAGATGCTTCGTCCCTGCGTGCCATAATTTACAGAACAGCTTGGAGTTGTCACTTCAATTCTCAAGCTTTATGTATTTCGTGTTATTCAGGCTCCCGTAATATGTTGGAACACAAAGCATTGTGTTGTATACACTGCATGTATATCCGTTATTGCACACATGCTGTATTTGCGATGCCTCTGCTAACGTAGGAAAACTATTGCAACAATTTCCAACCACGACAATCACCAGGCAGAGTTTAGCGTTCCAGACTGTACTGTAAAGTTATGTTCAATGCTTGACATGCAGGTTTGGTTTGCTTAAAAAGACTCTGATGCAATTTGTCGGCTCGTGCTATCATTCAAAAGTTGGTGCAGACTGTGAATGTGCAAAAAGATAGTTGCAAAACAAAAGATGGTTCAAAATTAAATGCGAATGCTGGGTAGACTAAAGACGCACCAATGTTCAAGTGACAAAGGAAAGCATAGGCAAATCCACAATAGTCATTAGAAGCATTTGCTTAGCAGAGTAGCTCCCAGTGTTTTGTTTTGTTTTGTATGTTTATTTAAGAAGCAGACATCATTCCACCATATGAACACAAACACAATAAACTAATAAGTAGCAGACGCTGCTGAAAGTTTGTATAGGCTGTCAATATTTTTAGAAAGGATCATTCTATTGATTGTTCCATCAACTAATCAAATAATTAGATGAACAAATTTTGCGAGATCTTTTTTTATGATTACCATCTCTGGAGGCGTATTTGTGTTTGGTGGTATATCCCCTATGCGCGCCCCATACACGCATCTGGACACTAATTGATAATTAGATGAGGGGTTGTGTATGAAGTGCTGCTTCCACAAATGAAAATGTGGGTATTGTCACTCATTTTTTCCCCCCATCATACTTTGGCGCCCCCGTTCGAAATTAGTAGCATGTGGTTGTTACGAGAGCTCAGACTTGCACCCAAGTCTCCTGTCTTGTTGAGATCAGCAAATGATGATTGAATTGATGCGCATTTGGGCTTTTCCGAAAAACAAAAACAAAAACACATCTTAGATCAACAAATGAAAATCCAGTTTCATCTAAACGGTAATTGTAAATAACATTTTATCTGAACCGGATTGGGTGTACACCAGCACGCTGACGCAGCAGCGAAAACTTATGGAAAATTTCTCTTTTTTAGTTTAAAATATCTTACTTTAACCACCAGGATCCCACACCACATCGTGGTGAGTGACAGAAACCAGGCTGGGTTTTGTTTTGTTTTTTGCTTTTGGTCCCATAAATCCATCCGCGTTGTGTCGTCACCTATTCATCCTAACTAGCGCTAAGCTAGCAGGGGAGTTTTTCTCCCGTCGAATCAGACACACACACACGAATTCCCTTCATTTGTTGCTATGACAGCGTGAGAGGCCAACAGCGAAGTAACGACTCAGGCGTTCAAACACCACCGAGATGGGCTTCATTGACCGTTCTGCCTAACGGTTTATTGAATGCTCATTAGCTCTCTAACTATTCCCACACACTTCCGGGATCTCCCTTACAGAGCCTGCCGCCTGCTTTCACATGACGCATGCACACTCCCCACATACATATGTCACACACACATATTTGAGTTGCCAGTCAATCTGTGCGACGACAATAAATGATTTGTCCGGGTTCAAAATGAAGTTTTGATTCGGCCTGTTTTTCATGGCCAATTCGCAACTCAATTCCAGTCACTACCGATACACGCACAACCCTAACTGTTAATGATGCCCATGTGAATTCCTCATGAACCAGTGGTATTGAAAACACGTAATCTCAAATAAAAATAACATACCGCGCTTGTGGCAGGTCTTCAGCAGGTGATTGGCAGGCTTGAAGGGCAGCCCGGCCAGTTTGGTACCAGTGCTGCCCAGCCTGGCCCTTCCCAGGGGGCTGCCGTTCTGCTCCATGCGGGGCAGCTTGGCCGGTGGGGGCTTGGCCTCGGCCATGCTGTTGACCAGCTCGGCGTTCTCCTTGCCCAAACACGTCTCGCTGAGATGGTCCATCATCATCTCAGCAACCTTCGACTCGCTGCGGTCACCTGTGGAGACAGGGGAGTCAAACCAATTTTACGTGGCGGACTACAGCAGTTACTGCTGCCCAGAGGTTGCAAAAGAACCATTTTGCTACATTTTTGTTAGCAAAGGAACTGTTAGCAGGCTAGCAAGTGAGCTAATTGCATTTGAAACTGTAAAATCCTTTTGATTCTGCCTCAGCATTTTTTTTTTTACTCAGGTTGCCATCATGGAGTATGTGAGCATACAAAGTGTTAGCATATTAGCATTGCATCAAATATCATTACAAATAGTAAGGGAAATTATGTAAAATCCCGATCCACAGGTATGTTCCTCAGCGCTTTTGCCACTTACTGTAGGTTGCTATCTTGTTAGTGGTTAACATAACTTAGCATGTTAGCATGGTATAAATTCTCATTGGAAGTAGTATACAACCTAAGTGGAAATTTTTAAATCCTTAAGTGCCTTTGTGTTTTTTGTACTGTCTGGATGCACAATGTGTGCATTGCCAACAGTTTTGTCATTCCAACAACAGATTTTTTTTTTAGTTTTAAGTTGACTTTGACATCTATGTGTTAGCACTTCAGTTGGCCTAGCTTTTTCTGTCGTGTCTGCTTTTTTTCTTTTCTTTTTTTTTTTTTTAACAGCCCTTGTATTATGTATGACGTCCCACTAGTGAGTCCCAGGCGAGGTGGGCCAAACAAGCCTTGTTTCTTTTAAGCAAGAACACATTAATTTGCAGGGAGATTCCGCTTGGATGCGTACAGCGGGGTATGAGGTTCTGCTGCCGAGCACGCAGGGCAGAGGCTTCGCTGGGGTTTGGTTGAGGTATTGTGAGGCTATGCATCCGTTTGTGCTTGGGGGAATTTTGCCATGTCACAACTTTACAGGTGTCGACTTTTATATAAGTCCAAAAAAATAACCATTACCATTATACGACATTTTAACTACTTTTAGCTTGTTTTTAATTGAATTTATGTCCGTTTTAAATGGGCAATTTGACACAGGACACGTTTCATCAGCAAAAAGTGACACACACACACACACACACACACACACACACACACACACATACACACACACGGCATATACTGTATGTATATATATATATTATATATATATATGGAATCAAAGCTCCAAAGCTCCTTTTTATTGTATTGTACTTTTAAACAATTTTTAGAGTTTTTCTGTCACTTTAAAATGTGTCAATTTGACCCAGGCGTGTTTACTGTTCAAAAAAGGGTTAAAAAAAACATTAAACATTGTCATTTTTAAAAGGTGCAACTGATCTTAACCCATCCTGTTTTGATTTGTTTTCACTTTTAAATGTGTTATTATCTTAAAGTGAAAAAAATACATCTTTAAACTACACTCGGCTCAAGTTTTTATTGCATTTTTGTCACTTTGAAATGTGTCAGTTTAACCAGCAACATGACAGGAAAGCTCACACCACTTTTAGCCCCCACGATCTAAACCAACTCACAACACACCCAAATTGCATTTGTTGAAATATACCCGTGGCTTAGATGCAATGTCCATTAGGTCATTTGTTGGGGCTGCACGAGTGTGTAAGATACACGGTGCATGTCAGTGCATCGTGTTAATTCACTGGACCTGTCAAAGAGGACAAACTCGACCACCCCCGCATCCAAAGATCATCAACTCCCCCCATTCATGACGAGCAATGAGCCAAGTAATTCCCTGCAATTAGGGCAGAAAAGTGAGGGACGAGGGTGGGGCGGTGGAGGGCATTCTGAAGGCATCCACACCCCGGCATCAACGTCAAATCCGCATAAATAATAATCATATTCGCATGCTGCTCCTTTCCAGTGAAGAAAAATTATGTATTTATGTGACGTTTTGTATTGCATTATTTACTTACAGAAAAGGAACAACATATATAAAATCCAGATCAGGATTTTTAAATGACAAAAATATTGTAAGAATGAAATATGAGGGGAAGTTGCAATAAAGGAATTAGAAATTGAAGGAACCAACCTGGAAAGTAGCAGCTTGCCACCACTTGGATTCCTCTTTTCTTCAAGTTTGGCCAGGGTAGACTGATAAGTTGTTGAAAACAATACAAATAATAAATAGAGCAAAACTTCCTGTTGGCAGGTGAGTGACAGTGGAGGGAAGGGGGGGCGGGCGCGGAAGTCAAGCCGGCTTCTGGGAGGCTCCGCGGGCAAGAGGCGGGACCATCGACCGATGTTGGGGCTGGGTGAGTGTCTGCGCTACGTTAGCTTATACCGTCGGGCGACATGGACGCTAAAAAACAACCCGAAGAAAATCAACAACAAGCGGGTGCAAAGTGAGAGGTTAGCCACTACTTCACCCAAAAATACAAACATGGCCGTGGGAGGCTGGGGGAGAGGCTGGCTGGCAGCCTGCCCGCTAGCCGCCGCCGGGAAGCGAGCAGCGTACGGATCGGACCATGGTATCCACCACCACCACCACCACCACAACCGCCACAGTTGCCGGCGACAGTGCGCGTCAAACCCGGGTGCTTGGGAAGTAGCTAGCGAGAAACCAAGAACTAGCAAATGTCCCCTCAGCTGTTGGTAGCGCGGAGCCGGAACGTGATTCGGAGCAGGTTCGCCACATTCAAAACAAGGAGAGAAAAAAGACGAGGGGAGGTCAAAAAGTGCCGTTCACTTTCCCGGCGTCGCGGAGAAACGACGCTCCCCAGCCGGGTGCTCAGACGCGGGGCTTGCCGCGCTGCTACTACCGCCGCCGCTGACGCCTGGAGGTGGAGAAAGGTGTCTCGCTACTCGGGCTCGGAGCTCTTGTGCCTCGGCTATCCGCCTCTCGGTCTCCCCCCCTCTCTCGCTCCGGCTCTCCCTGCGTGTCCCCATTAAATTATTAGTTGTATTGACTCATCGCCCTCCTCCTCCTCCGCCTCTCTCTCGCTCACTCGCTCGCTCCCTCCCTCCCTCACTCTGGTTCTCTCCCGGCTGCTCGCTCTCCCCTCGACGGGCACATGGCGCGACCGAGGGGGCTGCAACATTTCCGGGGTGGTGGGGGTAAACTAGTCCCTGTAGACGAGCGGATGATTCCACCTGCACCGGCCGTAAAAAGTCCTGATGGCGGGCTGCGGTGGGTGGGGGGTGGGAGGGGGCGTTTAAAGTGGAAAAAAGTGTGCGGAGGAATTTCTAATCATCTTGATTGGAGTGAGAAGGCTCCCTGCATTTATTATCAACAGTGGCAACTATAAATCAGTAAAATCAATCATTCATATTTTTATTGCCACTCTTTGTTTGTATTTACAAATCAGCAATGTGGAAACGGTGGGGTACATCAGTTTTTTCCATCTGAATTTGGGCCCTGAACATGTTAAATCAGCTCACTCATATTGCACCGCAAAGATTATAATAGGACATTATAACAATCTTTAAAAGCCACTTCAAAATTTGAGATTAAGTTTTGAAAAGGTTGACACATCCCCAATAAACTGCCTATCTATATATCTATCCTAAGACCAAAACTAAGTTCCTATTTTTACAGAACATGCATTGAAACTTTTTAAATTCACTACTGTGCAGGCTTCAGTTTTGTCATACAATAAATCATTCAATAGAATACCCAGAAACATCATAGTCATAGCCGAAACAAAAAAATCTGGAGTGAACCTGTCTAAGCACCCCCCTCGCCTCCCAAAAAAAGAAAAAAAAAGTGAACGTTGCACTTGTCTTTCTTGATAGTTGTCATTACACAACAAAGGTCCTGTCAACAAACAAAGGCTAATACACCCGAGTCACTGCCTCATTACGGGTTCTGCGGCGTTATTTTACAGCCAAGGAAACCTGTGTAGCAGGTCATCATGCCATGCCTTGGTGTCGTTTTACCAGACAAAAATATTTGACAAGCTCCACAAAACCCCAACTGTCAACAAGTAAGAAATACGCACATTGAGAGAGTGCACACAGATTGTGCAAACACTCGCAAGCTGACATTGTAATTAATGAAGCGAGTCTTTTATATACTGGCAGCTGATGTCTCTTTGACGTGTCAATAAATCCAAATGAGATTTGATTAAACTAAATTCTTGAAGTTGGGTCCCATGTGTTGGGATTTAAAAATAATTTATTCCTATAATGCTTGATGGGGTGCCACGTTGTGCTAGTGGTTAGCACATCTGCCTCACCGCATTGAGGTTAGGGGTTTGAATCTGGACTTTGGCCTCCCTGTATGGAGTGGGTTTCCCTAATGAGGATAAGTGGAATGGAAAATAGATAGAGGAATAAATGGACATAGAAATAATCCATATCAGGCCCAAGCCACTGGTAAAACCATCACAATATTTCAGTTATTGTACTATATTGTACTGTATTATTTAGTGAACCATGAAAACATGGCATGATTGACAAGGAAGAAGAGGCTAGCCACACAAAAAGGAAGTAGACGAGAATAAAAGCAAGAGTGTGAGAGGCTGCCTCGCCCCAGTCACTGACGGTACATAACGCGCTTAGTACATCGCTGGCATGCATTTTGCCGGCAGACACTGCATATGCTTTGCTCTCATTCACAGGTACATATGAAAGTGTAAATCTAGTAAAGTTGTGTTGTAAAACACAATATCTGCAGACTGTTTGCGGCCGGAGCAAACCTTTATTAAATTTATTATCGTGCAATAATCTAATTGTAACGTGTATGTGTTACATATTTTGATGCATTTTTATGCTTTAGAAACCATTTATGGCTGAATTTTTTTGGAGGGGGGGCTTGGAACGGATTAGGGCATTTACATGGAAAATGCGTCTCTACTTACAACATTTTCTAGTTATGAAATTTCTTCCAGAACCAATTAATTTCGTAAGTAGGGGTACCAATGTACTTTGTAAAACAATCGTGGTCCAATTCCAATTTGTGGCTGTGTTTGACTTTAGAAGTTCCACCACAATTACTTATACCAAAAGATTTTATCTTGAAGATTGCTTGCTGTATTGTATCATCGAAAGTGGTGAAGGTAGAAGAACAGGAAACCGACAAACAGGAAGTGCGTTTGCTGACTACAGTCACAACAAAAACTACAGGTGCCAAGTCGTCCCGGGGAGGTCAAGCGTATGTGCAGTGTGACAATATTTTCACTCCGCAACCGTAAACACCGTAATCACCTCGTCTTTGCAAAGCTGCTGTTTGATAAACACGCCGACCACAGACACTTTGACTGTAAAGTCAAAGGATTTAGAAGAAGATGGAAAAGAGGTGTTGCGTCGGCAGTTAACCCCCAATTGCTGTTCCAACCAACTGTGTGGGGTCAGAAGTTTGTCTGGTCCTAGTGAATTCCCCGCAAGAGGTGAGAACGGAAGCCTTCGAGCAGGAAACTGCGACTGAAGCGTTGTCACCTGAGACAGAACGATGCCTGGTGATAAAGTGTTGCGGGGGCGGTGGGAAGCATTGTAAAAGAGTCTCACGACTGCTGCGAAGGTATTTGTTTGTCTTTTTTTTTTTATTCTCTCCTCACGATTCTAACAGGAAGCGAAAGAGAGGTGAGATGATTCCGCATTCAAGATAAAAATCTGGCCCAACAAATGAAGAATAATTTCCTCCGCAGATGACTTCATCGACTTTTAGGGGGCATCAACATTCAAGTTTTTCAAAAAGTGTGTACCCCGGGGAAAGTTGATGTATTTCGGTGAAGCTGGATTCGGGGGTTGAATTTTCCAAAAACGCCCACAACCTCCATTGTTATATTTTTGTGGCGTAACCCTGATAAGCTAGCTCACAAATGTCACTGAAAACATGACCAACTTGGCGGAGCCACGAAGAGAAAATGTGAACAGGAGGCTCTGCATCACACACACACACACACACACACACACACACACACACACACACACACACACGCAAGCATACACAGACATTTATACTTGCTCGGCACCATGCAGTGCCACCGCAAAATAAAACAAAAAACCAAGGTGTGTGTCAACATGCGTTACACCGCATTTCCTCTTATTTTTAAGCCGTCGTGGGGAAACGTGCTCCTTTTTTCTCTCTCCGGTGTGACGCAAGCAGCCGCAGTCATTTCCACGGCGATTGTCAGGCGCCATCGGAGAGCGCCGATAACCCCTGCCAAGGCTTGGCACGGCCAACAGGTGGCGGCGCTGCCAGCCACCCAGCTTGGCAGCGACATGGCTGCAGCAAAGGGGAAAAAAAAAAAAATCTGACATCCAGAAGGGGCGCAGACTTGCACTGAACGCACCGGCGAAGCAACACTGCTGATTATCAATTAACATATAGCATTTGTGTGTGTGTGTGTGTGGGGGGACACAAAAAATAACTCGAGATTACAATGTATTCAGAATTTGCGCGTGAATGCTAATTCTGAATTGGAATGCCGCGGAACTGGCTGAATTGTTGAAATGTAGAATGTGAGACTTGAAGTTGGAATGAGGTAAATACGTGACAGTTCTGCATTTGGCAATGTCACGGAAAATGTGGATTCATCATCAATGTGTGAATTTTGGGAACGTGAAAATAGTTTTCAAGGTGTCCCCTGAACAGTTTCAAGTTGGAATGATTTGAATCGGCTGCTAAATTGTGATAGATGAAAGTACGGGATGACTTTATTTTGAAACATTGGTCTCCACTAATTCTGCTGCAAAACATGGATTTGAGGGACAAATTAAGACTTTTTGAAACCTGTTGAAAAAGTTCCCAAGATCTCCTGAACGATGTCAATATTTTGAAGTTAGATATATCAAATGTGGGATATGTCCCTTTTTTCATTTCAATTGGATTATTTTCATTTCAACAGTTCCGAGGATGCCTGAATGACGGGAATATTTTGCATCTGCAATGGAGAAATGTGGAAGAGGTAGAACGGCAAAAATTGGAGGAATAATAATCATGAGAAAATACTTTGGGGGTTCGGGGTGGGGTGCAAGAATAATATGTTGCAACAACTAGTTTATCACAATCTGAATGCAGATTTAGCTGGGCTCAATGTGGGTTCGCAGCAATGTGGCCTAGACACACGCACACACTCTGTTTTGTAATTGTGGCAGGCTGGATTTGGTGCCGCTTGGCCACGTTTTTAAGGAAAACACGAAGTGCCAAAAGAGGTCTCGTTTGCCACCGAAGGCGTTTAAATGTCAATCGTCATTACGCGTTTGCTACACCTGGGCCAGCACTCTTTAAACTGCGGGACAAGAATATTTTGTCTATTTGGGAGGGGGGGTGGGCGGAAGGTGAAAAAAAATCTGACACTAATGGGAGAGGAGACGGGAATGATTATGGAAATTCAAAATAGTTGGCTCGGTGCGGAGGTAGCGTCTTTATTTAGAGGCTGAGTGCACGTAGGTGTTGTAATGTCTTCATACTCGCCCCTCGCCTCGCTGCTAATGGGCATTAATACCATTATTTGCGATTACTAATACAAATTAGTCTGAGTGGTGGGCGACGGGGAGGTGACGGGGGTCTTTAGCAACGTCTCAGCTCCTCATTCACACATTTTGGAGGCAGCAAAGGATTTAAGGAAAAAAAAAATTCCGCTTGAGAAAATTAATCTGCCGTATTGATGCCAATTTGTTGTTTATGACCAGCGGACACAATATTAGGTACACTGTCAATGTCGCCAAAAAGAATGGCGTCGATTATTTAAAAATGAATAATACTCATTGAGATGGTTTTATTTTTGCAATGTCACACTGTCTGATATTTAGTTTCGAAAGGAAATTATTGCAGAATATCCACTTCCGGTTAGCAATAACAGTTCAAAAGTCCTCAGACTAAATAGGTGAAGTCGAAGCCGCTTTTCAGATGTGGAAAGGGGCCGCAGACAAGCTGTGAGGATTGCGAAGAAATATTTCTGCTCAACGGGTACATTTATCACCTATTTTTGATTTTTAATCAAACATCAATACCATAACATGAAGTGTTTTCGGAACACTCCGATTACGAATAATTCATGCTAGCCACCTAGCGGCTGTGGCTATCGTCGGCTTCTTTACAGTGCGCATTACATACGGAGCAAGTGAGCGGCGTGGCTTTGATCAGGACGGGTTGGGGGGGGGGGCGGGCGGGGGATTACTTCATGGTTGCTACATGCCCGCCCATCACAGAAAAAAAATGGCTGCGCCCGTGTCTTGTACGAAGCTAAAATATGCATTAGCTGCCATCTTCAGAGGAGTTGAGGATTAAACCACTACAAATTTGTTTTGGGAGGCATTTCCGAACAAGTATTGTGCCGTTTTCTGGCACCTTTCATGGAGGATGGGTTCATCAGCGTAAACTTTCACACATGATCCAAATACATTTACGTGTTTTAAATGACACAGCCAGAGTGAAGAATGGTGTCCGCATGCAGTTGGATTTCAAACTAAGAAACAACCATGGACTGTGGTTTGGCACTGGTCAGTCCACCTCAGAGTGCTCGCTGAGGAAAAATTTTCCTCCTGGGCCGCCTCAGAGCGCACCGTGGCCGGCCGCAAGGTCACTGACAGCGAAGTGAATTTAAACAGAGCCAACACAATGAAAAGAAAAGGTGGAAAGAAAACGTCCCCATATTGGCAGGTACCAATCAGAGGGAATCTGGTTTCAGAAGAACAGCAAACCAATCGTTGAAAAGCTTACTTACATATCGAATATTTTTTTAACATTGATGACAAAATGGGCCGTTCAAAATCGCAGGTGTTTCTGACCAACAAAAATCGGTTGAGGGACGCTCACGTCTTAGAATGTGAATAGTGCAAACGTTGTGACTCACATTGCAAATGTCAAATTTAACATTGCCCCAAACGTGGAACTAAATGAATGCAGCCCAAAATATTAGAAATGCAGTACAGCGACAATAATTGATTTTTTTTTTTTAACTGTGCCTTATCATCCTTGTAAAGGCTGAATTTGAAGGGATTATGAAAGTGTACCTGATATTGTGACCAGTGGGCGTATGAATGAAAATGAAATTTGCAAAAAAAAAAAAAAAACTGTTCTCGGAAAAAACAAGTGATTTTAAGTGTGTGTGTGTGTGTGTGTGTGTGTGTGTGTGTGTGTGTGGGAGGACAGGTTTCACAATGTGTAACAAAGTGAAAAACCAACAGAGGAAATGCGAGACATGACGATTGGCATCATTTCATATCTGCTATTGACAATTTCAATTCAATGACAATGTCATTCTCCCTGTACTGTACTTTTTTTTTCCCACCCCCTACCCCCACACACACACACACACGCACACACTTTGTTGCGGAGTGGATGCGTTGCATGTTTTATTAATGACCTCATGTGAAGAGCACGACTCGTAATCATCTTGTCTATGTTAAGCGCGAAATAAGTTGGGCAAATATTCCGTAACATCTACTCCCCCTCCCAAACAAATCCACTTAGTCCCGCTTTTTTTTTTTTTTAACACGTGGCGAGTGTGGCTTTCAATTAGCGGTGAAATACGGTGATTTCTTATGTTCCTCGCCTGTCCGCCCGGCAGTGTAGGAGGCGAGAGAAGAAGCAGAAGAGGTGTAATGAACACAGCGTCGTCTCCTAAGGGCTTAATTGTTTTCTAATCGTGTGAGGCAGACTAGAAATAGACGACGAGCGAGCCAGAGAGCGACTCTCGTGACATCATGACCTCCCCGATGCCAAGTTGAGCGGCACCTTTTGACCACTTCCGACAGCCCACCCAGTGGTATTGATCTCACACTGTATTTCTCACGTTACAGTACAGCGTTTTCTGCTGTAGCGCTTTTTTCTTTTTTTTTTCCTTTGGTATCGCTTTTGAGGGGTTTTTACAGTGCGCAGGCGAGCCCGATTTAGTGATTAGTGCCTTTAATCCTTTCAGTGGACAGCTGATCATTTTATCAGGTAACTGTAATTGTAAGTTTTCAGTGTTTCTGTACTTTTTGCACAAAAGTTTGCTGCTCTCTACGAAGGAACTAAATGGCTAAAAAAAAGTGTCCAAGAACGTCTACCACTTGGCCTTTCTGTGATTCCTCCAGTCTTTGTGATTCTCTGAATGTCAGCAACACTTAAAGCTTTGATTTGGGCTTATAGTGTCATCAACAGGTTGCAAAATAGATACAGACTGGAAGAGTCACAGAAAGGCAGAGAATTGGACATTCTTGGAATATTTTTATTGCTTTGGTGATTTTTTTTTTTTTTTGTCAAAACTAGAAAATGTTTCTATTCAGTATAATGGTACATGCATGTCTTTCACGGTTGCTTAGTACAATTCAACAAGAATGACAAAAAATGAAGTCTGGAATCAACTGCAAAAAGTGAAATTTGCATGCAGCATAACAGCTAAATGTTGCGTCACCATATTTGCTTTGAACTCCACTGTTTGACCTTCGGAGCCCGACTGGATTTCTATTCAATTGCATTTCTTTAATGTCTTTGTAAGTGCTTTGAGGTGTTTAGGTGCCTTGCTCTGTGTATGAAATGTGCGATAGAAATAAAATTCCGCTTGCCTTGCCTTGCCTAGACAAACGGGCAATGCTAAATCACAAAACATTTTTACCGACGCCATCTCGTATTAATGTAACGCAGCATCAAACTATGACAATCATTTTAAGGATTCTTGAAACGTTCATTCATTCATTTTCCAAACAGCTTTTTCCTCACAAGGGTCGCGGGGGGCGCTGGAGCCCAGCCCAGCTGCCTTCGGGCAGTAGGCGGAGGACACCCTGAACCGGTTGCCAGCCAATCGCAGGGCACACACAGACGAACAAACCATCCGTGCTCACACTCACACCTAAGGACAAATTTGAGTGTTCAATCAGGCTGCCATGCATGTTTTGGGAATGTGGGAGGAAACCGGAGGACCCGGAGAAAACCCACACAGGCCCGGGGAGAACATGCAAACTCCACACAGGGAGGCCGAAGCTGGAATTGAACCTCTGCACTGTGAAGTCGACGTGCTAACCACTGGACCACCGGGCCGCTTGATTCTTGAAACAGTCAAATTAAAAAAAAAAAAAAGTAAATTCATACATACTCGGACTGGGGAGATTTTTTTTTTAGCAGTTTCACCAATCAGCATTTAATTGGACATGTTTGTAGTAACAGTGCGCGCAAAAAAAAAAAAAAAGTCTCAATGCTCTCGGCCCAAAATTTGGCACTGCTGGTTAAGACAGCACGAGTCTTCTTTTTGTTTTCTCAACGTGATGCTATACCATCACTTTGTCTTACCGCCATCACTACTCCCCCAAATTGGTGAGCGTGAGAACAGATACTCCGAAGAGCATCGAGGCCTTCGTCGGAAGCGCCGTATAAAAGCAGGAAGGCGACAGAATGGGCAAAGCGTCTCTGGGGAAAAATAAGAGAATAAATAAAAAGAACGCGGGTGTCGACTTCAAGTCGCGTCGCCTTTTTATCATCTTATTTTTCTTTGCCGCCTTAATCCCTCGTCAAAGGAGGCGTCACTCATCCGGCGAGAAACAAAACGCTCGATAAGGATGCAGTGTGTGTGTTGCGGTACGTGGGTGGGTATTAACAACCTGATCTCGGATGCGCTTTCCCGCAAACTCTCCCTCCTCCTCCATAATAATTAAAAAAAAAAAAAAAAACAGGCATTGGATTCCCAAAAACCTCCACAGATGGAATAAAGACAAGCATCGGGATGAAGGACAATGAAGTGAAAAAATAAGCCTTGAGCTAATGTGATTTGAATCGTGACTTCAAACTTGTATTAAAATTGTATTTGCTACGCTGTGGCGTAACCACAGAGGAAGAGCGCACGTATCGAGGGGTTGTCATGCCGTGCAAAAAGCGTGACATGACGGACT